GTGCAGTTGCCGTACTGTATTAAAGCTTTAATCAGGATAAAACCGTATATTAAAAGCTAACATATGCAGTAGCATTTACAAATAACAGCATATCTAAAAGTATGAAACAACAACAAACAAAAAACATAGAACTACCATTAAAAGCCATGCTTGCGCAGGTTCTGTGTGATCCTCTTCAGTAATATCATCTGCTTCTCAATCGGGCTCAAACTGATAAGCAATATTAATGACACCGCTGTTTACAATACAACCGGAGCACATCCCGCTGAGGAGAGGGGCGGGACGGTTAGACGCGCACTAGAGGCGGTTTAGCCAATCACAACACACTGGGCTAGCTAACTGGGCTTCATAAAAACAGGAAATGATCAGCGCGTTTGAACACACTGGGCTAGCTAACCAATCAGAGCCCATCGCCTATTTCTGAGTGTGGGGCTTCATAAAAGCAGGAAATGATCAGCGCGTTTGTCAGAGAAGGGACAGAGCGTTGTGGAATAAAGGTAAATTATGTGAAAAATAAAGCGTTTTTTTTTTAAACAAAGAATTAACACATGTTAGACTGCACCCCATAAACACAATCAAGCCTAGAAAAAAACAGTGAACCACCCCTTTAAACATAATGATAAACTAATAAATAAAAGTAAGTATAAGTAAATAAAAATGTAATTTAGCATTGAGATTTTTTCTTCAGAATCAAAATTTTAGGTTAAGAATGTAGGGGAAGTGTGTATTTTAAATGCTGTAACTGGTCACCATTTCTTTCACCATTGTAAATCAACATTATTTTAATATGTTAAAATACCTTCTGCTACAAAAATGTAACATGCAAGAGAAATGTAAGCCATTAATAGTTGGATTTGAAAATTAACAGCCTGTTTGAAAAATATTTTCATTATTTTTGCAATTCAATTTTGTGTTGCTAGTGGCACAGAAATCAAACACTTTATCTTTAAATAAACCCGTGGTCTGACAAATCACTTCTAATACCATAAAAACGGCAAAAACAGGCCTAATACTTATAAAAGAATT